CAGCTTTTGTAGGGGAGAGCAGCGTGCCACGATTGTGTCAGGATTTATTACACCTGGATTCAGTTGCTGTGTGCGACCCCCAATCACAGCAGATGGCCCCGCCCCTCCCTGAGCCTGGTTCTGCTGGAGGTTTCTTCCTGTTAAAAGGGAGTTTTTCCTCCCCACTGTCGCCACAGTGCTGCTCATAGGGGGTCGTATCATTGTTGGGGTTTTTCTCTGTATGTATTATTGTACAATATGAAGCGCCTTGAGGTGATGATTTGTATAAATAAAACTGATTTGACTCTGTGTGTTTATGAGACTCGCTGACAGATGTGGGTGAGGTATCATCATTTCGTGTGTGCCACATTGTTGTTACAGAGTCCCTTTTTCCTGTTATTCAGTTTTTCTGGCTTTGTGTTTGGACCATATTTATGACTGTTGATTTTAGGAGAGAAAATAAAAGAAGAGACGAGAGGTAACCTGATTCACGATGTGGGAGAGATCTTAGACAGGAAATTTCATTTTGGACTGCGGTGAAAACCTGGACGAAGTGCAGCCCTGCAGAGTCCCTGGAGCCTTCAGACGTCAACAGGTTGACACTACACACACAGTTACTCAGAGATAAAAAATATCTACTCTGACAGCTTCCAAATATGCACTCAGAAATCTTTAAAGTCGTTGACATACAGACACTTGCCCAAACATTTACTCCCTGGCACGCTCACAGGCACAAATGAGGAGAGGTTGATGGACACAGTGCTGCTGATCCCTCTTTGGTGGCTTTTAGAAAAGCAGTTTCAGAGCGTTAATCAGAGGGGATCAAAAAATCTGGGGAGAGCGCTGCCCTGGGCTCTTGCAGGCAGGACTAGCTGAGTGTGTGAACAGTTTGTGTGATTTTCATTTGTTCCCAGCAGACCTGGCAGAGCTGAACTTGATTCCTGGGATCTAATTTCTTTGGAGGAGGGCTTTGAAAAAACGTGGATGTTGCTGATATTAGAAAGAGGAAAAAGCCAAGGAGCTGATCTACATCATTCACCTCCCAGGAAAAATGTGCCTTCCACTCCAGGTCCTGGGAAAACAGATTGGGGAGATGTGCTGTTTTGATGAAAAACCAGGAGTGAAAATTAGAAATAAATATTGAAAGAATAATATTTATAAAGTACAACGAACAAGAAAGAGAAGGACACGATTAATGTGCGAAAGGAAAAAAGTACAGAGCAGACGTGAATGGAAAAGAAAAGCCTAAAAATAAAGAGGTGGCAAAATAAGAGACGTGACGCTGCAGAGCGATGGTGCTGACGAAAACACAAATTGAGAAAGCAATGGAGTGAAAGACATGAATTCATGAAATCATTCGTCAGAATAAGTGAACTAGAAAGAGAGAATAGCAGAGGTGCAGCGTGTTGGCGAGGTGTGGACATTGCTTGTCGACAAGACCGCCGACAAGTTCTTCCCTCGACGCAGAGCAGGGATCGCCTTACCCTCGGCTGGCTTCACAGCTCTGCAGAAACACTGTTTATAAGGATGCGGTGATGTTTTACCCAGCAGGTCAGGTAAAAAGATCAGGACTGTGGAACGTGTAACAGTTACTAAATAGCAGTAAATGATTCATCATGGCCACACTGTTGAAATGTAGCATCAGTGACTTCTTATACTTAAGACATGTGTGTTGTTACCTGCAGGACTGACTCAGGAAACGTAGAGAGAGAAATGCAAACATGCTAACGTCATAGCTCAGTGTTGCGTCACAGTGTTTCCTCTGTTGTGATAAAAGTTACACAATTTATTTATTATAAATCAGAAGGAGGGAAACGTGTGCTCACTGTTCTGCTGCACTTTAATCATTTCATGTCTTTAAAAGATGTTTTCAAAGACAAACGTTCAGTCCACGCGATCTCTTTGCTGAACACACTGAGCACACACTGAGCACACACTTGGTTTCTTTCCCCACATTTACAATCAAACGCTGAAATCCTGTAAAGACACAGACTGTCTGTCACACTGATTTTCCGTCTCCATGAAGGATCAGGCTGAACAGTAAACTTCAGGTCTGGAAATCAAAGCCGATGTGGGGAAAACTGTGAGCTGGTGAAAATGTGTTAACTTTCAGTGCTGCTCTCTTCAAGGCGCAGGCCTTTGTTGTGGCTTTACACACTGAAGTAAACTTCTCATCTGTGTTTGAGGCGTTGGTGGCGTTTGGAGCCGCTGTAATATTTGCAGTTTACTGACAAATATTATGTCTTGCTGCGTTATTTGTAACAGCACACGATCAAAGAATCTGGACCATAGTTTTCTGATGACATTTCTAGATTACCGATCACTCAAACAATGTTCTGAACATGATTGCTATTCCCTCCAAAAATCCAAGATATTCGATCCAAGATGATATTTCTTTCCATCGAGTCTTTGGTGCAAGCGGTCTGAACTATTCTAGCATCTTTGAACTTTTTCTTATTTCATTTTTATCTTAACTTATTTAACTTTTTTAAAGTTAAATAAGTTAAGATAAAACATTTTTAAAATCTTTTCTTCAAAACATTTTACAGTCTATTTAATTCATTCATTAAACACACAAACTAATGGCTGAACATCTGGATTTAGGAGCTCAGGAGTTCATACAGTCCAGACACCAACACCTGCTCCACAGCTGGCAGCTGTAAGGAAACAAATATTTATGGCAAATGCATCAATGAGAGAAATGCCAAAGCATCAGTGCATGGTAATGACTCTTTGTAAACTAAATAATAAACAATGGTAAGTGTCTTAGATATATTTGTACCCCCCAAATGTCACTTTATCGTGACTCCAAGTTGTGTTGTGCAATCAAATGTACCTTCATCACAGGCAGGTGGTTCTCTCTGAGGTGGAAACACTGGCAGGGTTGGTGCTGTGAGCAAACCAGCAACAAGTCTGTCAGTTTCCCCAAAACTGAGTCTCGATGATGTCATTGGTAACTTCTGGGAAACCCAGTCGACTGTTTGGCAGGCGGCAAAGGTGTCATGGATCAGCAGAGCCTAGTTTCACAACACTGTGTCAGTCATAAAGAAGAACGAGCAGAGGGGAAGTCCAGAAGGTTTGGGCTCGTGTGGCGCGGTGCTGTGGATAAGCTGAAGTTATTCTTCCCGCCAACTGAAGGATTCTCAGACTTCCAAAGATTTTCCTTTAGCATCCTCTGCTCCCGTCCTTTAAAAAAGAACCAAACTAAAATCCACTAAAAAAAGACATTTTTCAGTCATATGCAAAAGCTGAAAAATGTTTAGGAATCAAGACTTAGAGTTAAAAACTGCTGCTGAACATCTTAGCTGCTGGCTGACTGCTCAGAGTAAATCATGTTTGCAAACCGTGACTCTGAGCGCTGGGACAGACGATACGGCGACATTACCACGTGACTGCAGTGCGCTTTCATCACCTGACAGATTCCAGGGGACCGGACCGGTTTCGGTTTCAGTGGAAAGACACCGCACGAAAAAGGCAAGATGGGTGAGAGTGGCAGGTTACAGAGGTCGTACACTAGAGGGACCCGAGCAATGAGAAGGGTGACAGTTACTCACTCTTTCCCTCACCCTCTCTCACACACACACTGAAATCTGTCATGGAAAAAGAACTCAATACCTTTAGGCCTCCGGAGATGTTAGAAAACATCTGAGTGACTGTATGCGTGTGGTGTGTCGCTGCTCTGAGCTGAGATCACTGATTTACCTTTATTTTGCTGATTGGAGGACAGGAAACATAAATATAGACTGAACATTTACCTGCTTCCCTGCGCGACTTTGATTTGGGAAAACAAAATCCCCACATCCCCCTTTCAGGCTGCTTGTTCTCAGAAACTCTTGTGTCAGAAGAAATATAAATATTTGGCACATGATGTAAAACGCATCGGCAGCCGTGTGATTATCGTCTCTGTAATAAAGGAGTTTTGATGGGGTTTACTTCCCACATGAGTTTTTTCACTGAGTGGTCAGTGGTGAGCTCAGCTGCGTGGATCCGTGTGTGAATTTGTGTAGGGTGTGTCCTGGGAAGGCAATGCAAAGAGCTAAGATTGGATTGGTTTTTTAGACCACAGGCTTTGGTGTTGCTAAAACCAACACCTCCCACTGACATCTATTATACTGCAGGGAGTGAGCAAATGAGCGAGGGAGGGAGAGAGAGCGTGCACGTGGAAAGAGAGTGAAGTGGTTTTAAGTCTTAGTTCAGTAAGTAGACAGAAATCCAGTCACCTTTCCATTCAACTTCATTACCACTGCAAGTGTGTGTCAGCACATGTCCATGCTTGTGTGGTGAAAGTGTTTGTTTGCATGCGTCTGCATAGCTTTCCTGTCTGTCCTCCGCCCCTCGTTTAGATTCTGTTCAGCACTGACCCATGTGCCCTTGGTAAACAGCTTTTTGCCCTGGCTTGTAGACAAGGGCTTATGTGTTTGCATAAAGGTGTGTATGAATTTTTGCATCCCGGAATCCAGCCTTTAAACCACAACGGCCGCTCTGCATGACAAGTAAACCTCTCTCATAGTAATCCCGAGTCAAAGTTTAGATTCCCCTTCGTTCTGATTGGTCTATACATGCAAACCATACATGGATCAATGTTTCCCCTGTAATGCTGTAAACCAGCACCAGGTACCTTAAATCTCCTGGTGCTATACTACAAAGCTCATGAAGCTGTGCTGTGGGCATCTTCTCTCCCAGTTTTCTGCCTCTCTCCTTTCAAACTCGATTCCCTTTAATACCAGGAGGACTGGAGGAAGAAATGTGAGCAGAAAGGCGAAAGTATGAAGCCACAGAAAGAGAATGAAGTGGAACATTTTGGGGAGAAGGCAGAAAGAAATTTGGTAAAATGAAAGAAATGGTGAGAGTGGGAAAGATATGTTGGAGGTAAGAGATGGTCAGAGAGAGAGGAGATGAAATTGCTCTTTAATCAGTGAGGGGCTATATGGAGGCGGGCCGAGGTGCCTACTGTAATCCGATACACGCGCACGCGCACGGCGTGCACGCGCACTCAGGCAGGGGACTGAGTGAGCGGTCCTGCTCGCTGCCACAAACCCGGCGGAGAGTGGAGGGGAAGGAGCGCGAGCTACCGGGAGAGAGAGAGAGGCAACAGGGCAGAGCGTCTGAGCGCAGACACGCACAGTTGTGGGAGGACAGCGGAGAGGCACCACGTTTCTTTCTGCCTACCAGCTTTACGCACGCAGATCGAGCTGCTCGGAGATCCTGCGTTGTCTTTTGCGCATGAACGGACCATTACCGGGAAACTAGATCGGAACACATTTAATTTCCTTACCAAGAAAATGCGCCTGAAGATATTTGCATAAAACAATTGGAAATATTTTTAATCCAAGGAGGAAAGACGCGAGTTACTTTTCCCCGTTTCCGTCGCAGTTAGCGCTCTCTGATGATCTTTTTGGTTTCTAGTTAATTTGAAACGCACAATTTTCTTTATTTACTCTGCTGATCTGTTTCCCTGCGCTGCCGACTGTGCGCACAGCAATGGATTTTAAACCGTGTTTAGAGTTCAAATTGCGTTTCTAGACAAGTTGCTCTGGTTGAGGAGAAGTGGCGGCACGCACTCACACTGCATGAACTGTTTATTTTCTCCGGCGTGTTATTCTTAGTGAGTCGGGTGAACGCTGTCCGGCTTTTGGATTTTGGACACAACCGTGTTGCACGTTAGAAAAACAGATAACTGTGGAAACGGTCAGGGAAGTGCGACCTGGAGCCGTGTGTCAGATAAAGCAAATAAAACCACACAGGAGGAGAAGACGTGTTTTATTCTGAGGGGGAAAGATGGATTTATTCGTTTGGCTCTGTGGATGTATTTTGGCTCTTCTGTTACCTTCAGCGGTAAAAGCCGGGGAAGGAGGTAAGTTTGATGCTGTTGCTGTCCGCCTAAATCCAAGCGTCACACAAGGTGTAAAAAGAGAAAATAAGAGCAGTTACACATCACAAAACGAATAAAAGTTGTTTTCTTTCAGTGCAGTGAAAGTAAATTCAGGGAAAGCATCATTGCGCAATTGGTGACTACGGGCTCGAGCCAAATCTCCGCTCCGTTCCAAGTAATGCGCTGAAACGGCGCACTGCTGAGGGACGTTGATTACTTTCATCACATTTAGGAGACAGACCCGCGCTGCTGGACGGCCTGTGAGCCAGCTCTCTCGGTCCGGTGCAGGGACAAACGTTAGGAAGTACGAACGGGCAACAGAAATGATTTTGTCACGATGACTTTACAGATGAAGTATCTTCGTCACCAGCCGTGTTTTTAAAAAATTTTTTAATCCAGGGCTGATTTCGAAGGGATGCTGGTTTAATCAGCGTTGATTTGATCGTCTTAAAAACATCAGTAACGACGTTCAGTAATAAAAAGATGACAGATCGAAATCTTCTGTAAATTCCTGTCGGGAGCATTTTTGTTGTCAGCAGTTCTTCTTCCAGCACGTTTCCATCTCTTGCGCTCTTCTAAAATTCCTCGAAACTGTTTTTACTAAAAGGAAAAAAGTTGAACGCATTTCTTTACGGTGACTTCCTGTCATTCTGGGAGCGCGGAGAGGTGGCGGCCGGTGTGACGGGACTGCTGCCTCCGTGTACCGGAGGTCAGGTCCGGCCCGGCGCTCCACGGAGGCTCGCGTTCGCTCCCGAGCCCGTGTGAGCGACGGGATTTGCGGCTGTGTAACCCGACCACGAGTTCACCTTCGAGTGCATAAGCGGGAATATGATGTGAGAAGGGAACGCGCATTTGCTTTTTACGCTCTGTTAAATGTGGAGAGGCAGAATCTATCGCTGTGTGCGTTTTCGTCTCCAGACAACCTTTACGCACGAGGAGGATAGCCACAAAAATCTTTTTCCATATGTGAACTTGAAGCACAGACGACGTTTTAAGTCTCTTTGGTTACAACGAACCTACTTGTCACCACATAAAACACTCGTTACCCAAAGTTTCTGTTACATCGTCACAGGCAGGGGTGTATGGGGAGTTCGACTCAGCTGATGGACACTCAGGACTCCGAGTGGTCGTAAATTTAGTTTACGTAAATTTAAGAGCTTAGCTACTGCGGCCTTTACCAGGAGACTGATGACTTTTGTTTTCGCTGCACACACTGATTGTTAGCACTGGTTTCTCATTGCTGCCTGTGCAAAGACCTGAATACTTGGAGATATACTTCTAGTCTCTCCTCGAGTTTCACTTTCTGCTTTGTGGTGAATGCATATGTGTAAATCTAGAGAGAGAGAGAGAGAGGGAACCGAAAGGGGGTGGCTGCAGGGAGGTTGGTGGCATTCGAGGTTTTACGGCCTTATTCCGGAGGGCTTTTGCAGATCTCATGACTTGGATTGAGTGGCCCTGATTGCCAAATGTTGTTTTGGAGAACCACAGAAGTACAGAAGGCACAGGGAGGGCATTCTTTACATACAATTCACTTCTGATGTGAGAAACTGTACGGTGGAGCATCCTGCTATCTGTGGGCATTTTTACATTAGGTTAAATCTGAACTAGTAATTTAAGGCCTGTGTGAGGTGATGTGAATGTTCAGATTATTAATATTATAAATAATTAAAAACCGCTGACTTTGTGCAAAGCATGCAACGGGTCTGAGGCTTTCCTGTCCAGAAGAAAGAACAGCAGGTCATTTGATCAGCAGTTGTTTGTCTTAAAATTAGTCACATTTATATTCAACACCAAAGCAGGAAGTATGTGCTGCAGTCCAGCACAGGAAACATTCAGATGGAAACTCTGTGGCATTCAAGGAAGATGAATGAGGTGTTTAACTTCAATGCCAACGACTGGAGTTTGTTCTTTTTCCAGCTAAATGACGCTGACAGTGGGGTTAAATATGAGAACATGTTGATATTCTGTTCTTTTTTGACCTCTTACTTTATGTTTGCTGACAGCAGGTGAAGCCTGATTTTCCTGGGGACCCCCTCGAGCTCCCCTCGAGGTTTCCCTCCAGGTACACCGAGCATCTCTGGAACAAACACACACATTTTGAGCAGTAGGCTATGCAGAATGGAGCTTTCTCAGCAGTTAACTTTTATAGATGCCTCTACTTTGTTCTCTCTGGAGAGATGAGCAAGGAAAGCATAGTGAGACTAAGAAGTGTATATATAGAGAGACGCGGGAGGGATGGAAGTGCAGAGGGAGGAAGTAACAGAGACAGCAGAGACAGAAACAGGCAGAGGGAAGCAGCAAAAAGCAGTGAACGAAACGGAAGAATGATTTTTAGCCTCGCTGTTTGATCCTGTTTCTTCATTCCGTTTGATCACAGCTGTGCCTGGAAGGGAGATAAACGGACATAATTGGCCACTCAAGACCAGCTGTCTGCCTCCATAGTGTCTCTGCTGAAATATGGTGGATGATGAAACAGGATCACCATGATACTAAGTGTAAGAAGTGTGCTAGCGGTGGTGGTGAATTGCCCACAGGTACGCATTAAGGTTTGGTTTATGTGATTGTTTTTGATGGCTCCAACCGGCCTGGTGTGATTTTAAAAGTCTGAGCAGTGGGAAGAATTTCCGGAGGTGAAGTTAACAGCTCCATTTACATGCAGGGGAATAAATAAGAACGTCTGGCAGACTTAAAGGCTTACCGTCTAGCAGGTGCTTCACCATCCACATGAAGATGTTTTAGTTTGGTCGCTGAACATGAAACAGCTTCTCCTGTACGTGCATCGTGTGCTGTGAGTGTGAGTGGGTCTGTGTTTCCCGGTGGGGTCAGCTCGTGGTAATTAAATATTACATCAGTTTGGGTCGTAATGCTTTGCAAGCGTCAGTTGGCCACCAATAAAACAAATCATCCATGTCATTCACATAATGGGGTTAAAGCTCAGAACCTAATGAACTGACTCGCTGCCACAAACAGTCATTCCACGTAATTACAAATCCAGGTTTTAACCTGAAACACTGCAGATATTAGAGTACGCAAATATGAATTCAACAGTATTTTCTATAATTGCACAGGCCTTTATAGAGCTGTGTAAAAACTCAAACAGCATGCTTATCATTAAGGGCAATTAACGATCCTTAAATCAGCTTCTTGATGAATTTGTGTGCATTCTCCATAATCTGTTTGTTTTGAGTTATTCTTTTCTGTCATATTTGTCGACTGATCCACTGATTCTGAGGGAAGGAAAACAGAAGATTATGTGTAACGTGCGAGCTTTCCCCAACATGAATTGGAAACTTTTCTCCCCATAAAGTACACGCAAAAAATGGAACAATAAAAAAAATGAAAGAGATGCATTGAGCAAGAAATCAGGAGAGTTTGGACGTGTGCAAGAGAGAAAATGAAAGGGAGAAAGTATTACGGGGCATTAGTGAAATAAGAGGAAGGCAGCAGAGTGTGAAGCAGTAGTTGAGTGGAGCCACCTGCAGTAAACTAACCCAGATTTATTCTTCTCCTCTGAAACGCACAAGAGAGTTTCTGGGCAACGTACTGCACATTTTATTAATAAATATGTACTCCTATTATACACTGAAGGTGAAGGATTTAATTTTCTTCATGTGATCTCGATAAGTATAAAATGACATTATAATAAAGGGATGTTTGACACTGAATATGAAATGTTGCTTTACAGATGTCAGGGAACAGATCGGACTAAGCGTTGCGTTGGCCTGTGATGGTCAGGTTTATTAAAACATTTTATCAGATAGCTGAGTTTGCCGAGCTGGTGCAGGTGACACCTTAGAGCTGATTTCATTTTAATCGTCTTGCAGGCAGCAGGTGTTTTCCACCAGGCCTCAGGATTAAGCGTTACACGTATTCATCAGGGACTCAGATCACCACGGCGGCTTTTTTCCCAGTTTTTTAAAACAAACAAACAAACAAACAGAAACAAATGCATTACATGCCAGCTAGAAGAGAAACAAAAATCACATGCATCAAGCACGATGACATTAGTCTCTCAGTCATTAGAATAATGATAGCCTAAAAACAGAGTGGTTTTTCCATCGACATCAACAACCTAGCTGCAATGAGCGAATAAACATTAACCCAATTAACCTTTGGCACAGTCGCCCCTTCTCTTTCTCTCCTCTCATCTGTAAAAGGGAAAGGACAATTAGTGGGTCCAGCAGGATGTTCTAATTACAGTTATCATGCCATTAGTAAACTGTTAGTATTCTAGTGTCTTCATTGGCCACTGGTAATGACTGGAGTAATTAGAGAGGATGCTGGGAGCGAGTGGGTGTTCTTGTGTTTGCAGCCTTGTGAAGAACATTTGTCCTCAGAGGGAAAGGGAGATCATGGAAATCTTTCAAATGAGGATATTTGCCTGTTCCCACTTCTTTTAAAATCCTCGCACACAAAGAAAAACCTGTGTGTGTGTGTGTGTTTGTGAGAGAGTAAGCCGGGCCTTCTGTGTCTGCAGCAGTCCCTCCGGAGCGCTGTGGAACGAGGCCACAGGTTGTTTTCCTTTTTCTCTCCTCGTCACACCGAATCATCCTGTTGTTTTCTACTTTTCATGGCACTCCAGCTCTTCTTTAATAGTGCGCTCTGTGTCTTTCTCCACACCTCCCTCTGTCAGTGTTTTCCCTCACCCCGATTAAGAAACCTCCCTCACCTTCTTTTAGCCCCACTTTGCCACGGTGGAAAATCTCTTTACTGTTTCAGCCGCTCACTTTCTGTCTGGTCCCTGGAACTCTGTCAGTCTGTGTTTTCTCGTACTTTGGAGATCCATTCACATGACTCGCTAGAGACGCTCATTCATACGCTGCTTAAAAGGAGCTCTTTTCAGTGACTTAAAGGAATACGTCACATTTACGGCCCACCGATCAGCAAAAACATTCCTTACATAATCAATTTTTTTATATACAAGATACAGGATGATTGATAGCAGCCTTCACTACAATCATAATGTCAAAGTTAGCAATTTT